TTGAACTACGTCTGTATTCAGTGCCAGACCGTTTTCACACTGAAGTCTGCCAGAAAATAGGCTCATTTTTTTTTCAAGGCAGAAATATATCTCTGTGTCTATCTCTCTCTCTCTCTCTCTCTCTGTCTCTCTCTCTCTCTATCTCTCTGTCTCTCTCTCTCTCAGAGAGCTAATTATTTCTCCCCCGTTTAGAGCCAACTGTTTCTGTCATCTGTCTCTGTAATGACCTCTGCAAGATGTGCATGCATGCACATACCCCCCCTCACTTTTTCTCCTACAAACACACTCACAGCACAAAATCCTGACCAACACTCAGGCATACAGTCTTTCGCAGAGAAACCGCAGACATACACACAACATGGATGCACATGCAACAGATCAGTCTACTTTTTAGGATCGCCTCCAGTTGCAGCTGATGTATGCAGGCCAGACTGAGCCTGAGCAATACCTGTAGTCCCAAAGTAGTGCTGAAACACCTCATAGGTGAATTATCAATCAACACATAATTCATTCACATGAATTTTGATAACTGATGAACAACTTAGCTCTGACACAATTAATCAGTTGACAAAAAATGAATTCATAGCTATAGTATTTGTGATTAATATATTAATATTATCATATTCAAGCTATAAATAAACATTCACTGGTTCCAGCTTCTCATGTGAGAATTTACCGCTTCTCTTTCTCTTTCACTGTGGTAACATTTTTCACTGTTTTCTGGTGTTTCATAGAGGAAACAATTAAGTGGAAAAATAAAGGCCGTTTAATAATTCTATTAAGCAAAAATGCCACAAACCTCACATTTGAGATGCTGGTTCCAGCTTCCCAAATGTGAACTGTGCTTTGAACAAAATAAACAAATGGATGATGTCAATTTGGGCCATGAGAAATTGTGATGGGCATTTTGTAAAATATTCTGACATTTTGTTAAGAACAATTAATTAATTTAAAGCTGTAACAGGCAATTACTATGATTATTTATTATTCAGTTGATTCTCTATTTGAATTAATGGTTTGGTCTATGAAATGGTGGAAAATAGCTGAAAAAATGACCACAACAAATCATCCCAAGGTGACATTGTTTCTTTCTGCTATAGTCCAAGTCATATATTCAATTTAGAAGAATACAAATCAGAGGAGAGAAAGAAGAAAAAGCTCACATTTAAAGGGAGAGTTTGGTATTTTTCAACCTGGACCCTATTTTCCCATGTTTCTGTGTCTAAGTGATAGGGGTGGGCGATATAACGACTATGTGCTTTATATAGATATATTTTCAAGCAAGATATGCATTTAGAAAACACTGTTTATATCAATATAGGGTCAAGTTGCATCACATGACCCATACCAGTGTTCATCTCTCCTCTCTCACACTCTTACAAATGTAATCTCTCTCCATCATCACTTATGACCCACTCTCAGTGTGTGGTGTGAGACTCTGCCCTCTTATTTTCTGTTTTCCCAATGTTTATGGGTGTGTACCACCACAGCACTCAGGTGAGGTCAGTGCTGTATCAAAAGGTAGCGACCAGCTGCCAGAACGTAAGCAGCAGGCCTTCAAGAGATACAGTGCCAAAAAAGCAAATACAGTTAGACGAGACGCCAACTAAAGGATATCTTGGGTTGGCTTTTACTTTCACTTTTGCCAGTGAGCGTGTTTACAAACAGTAACGGATAATCCTGCATAGTATACCTTTAACTTTCAATCGACAGTTTTGATTTTTTTCACTATAATTGATTCAGCACTAACTTGATGAATCAAAATGTCATCAAAAAGTAATCAAAATATTCTATTCCCAAAACTTAAATCCAAAGCACACACACACACACACACACACACACACACACGTCACAATACCAAATCTTAAATCTAACAAACCAAGCAAAATACAATACAATATGTGTAATTTATTTTCCATCCAAAGAAAAGGAACTAATTACAATGAAATATGCAATTATTGGCAACCCTGGCTAGTGTTGCTTTAGGACTGGTAATGAATAGTATGAATGAAAAAGGAAATTAATGAGATACAGATCACCAGCAATACAAGGTTAACAAAATTGCCCATTTGTAAATACTACACTTGTCAGTCATGTCAAGGTTTTTCATTTATTAAATTCATGAATATTTGACATTTACTGGTCAATACAGATGTTCTTCAGCATTTTCTCTGAGGTAACCAAAATGGAACCAATATTGCAGTTATTAATGCTTATGGTTAATATGCTGATCTTTCCATGAACCTTTGTTCTTCAGTATGAAAAAATGTCTTAAGAAATAAAGTATCCTTGAGACAAGAAGAATTGGACTGCCATCTTTTTATATCCACACCCCAGGGAAACAAAAATACCATATAAAAACTTGACCTTTTCGGATCTTTGGGGTCTATTCAAGCATTTGTAACCACTCTTTTTTTTTCCTTTTTTTTTTTTAATTTGCAGGACTAAGCCGTATTGTATGAAACCCCCCTAAAAAACAGAGCTCACCCTTTCTGCACTCAAATCCTGATTGCCTTGAGAAAAGTCAAAGGCAACCACAAATGAAATCTGGATCTAAGGTTGAGGTCTTAGGTTTTAAGCCAAAATTAAGTGTTTAACTTCTCCAAACTTCCTCCGACTCAGTGAGGGTTGGGCATTTTTTTTAATTGGCCCCTCCAAATTTATGTCATCATGCAGGCCAATATCATGCTCCCGTGCAGAAATGTAAGAGTCATCTTTGACTCTCATCTGAATTTTAAAAATGAAATGCAATACAAGAGGTTATTTGGTCATGCTTTTAACATTTAACAGAAATTCTAAAACAAGCCTGTCTGCCTCTGACTTGGAGAAAGTTATTCGTGACTTTATTTCATCCTGTCAAAATTTCTTTGACTTTTATCACTATGTTACATGTTATACTAGTGTAAATAAAAATGTAACCATATGCAATTGATTAAAAAGCAGCTTTTTATTTTCATACTTAAAAGAACACAATCCCTTTCTTTTTAACTTGAGATCTCATGAGCAAACTGAAAACTAAAAAAAAAAAAAAATTATCTTGGCATTGTTTTAGACTCTCAGCTAAAGTTTGATGAACACAAAAAAGGTGGTAGAAAAAATGTTTGGGCTACTCTTCACACCTTTAGGCAAGTTAGACACTGCTTACCATTTAATAAAGATCTTATAAGTATGCATGCAATGGTTTTTTTTCTCATCTCTCACACTGCATAACCTCTTGGTCTCAGGCTTCAGTCTCTGCCTTTAACTACTACCACTACCCCATTCCAAGCAAGCTATCAAAAGTCTGGACAAGAAACCACCAAGATGTCATTACTGCAACATACTAAAGAGGTATAATCTTCTCACTTTTGATGATGTCATTCATTACTCAAACCTCACATTTACATTTAAACGTCTCCACCATCTAGCTCCACCCACTTTCAACAAGTTCATCACTAAACTTCACCATACTGCTTCTAATACCTTAAGTAATTCGGAAGAAAACTGTATAATTAGACACTGTAATACTTTACAAAACTGCATTCTCAATTAAAGACACAACCCTCTGGAATTCCCTACATGACAGCCCAAAGCAGATGCAGGATTTTAAGACGTTTTCCACAACAACCAAGTCCTTGTTAAAACTTGACCACAACTGTAATCATGACACCAGCTAATCATTATTTGTGTACTTGGGTTAATGCTATAAATGTTTGGCGTGCTGTTTTGTTGATTCATTAATCTGTTTAAGAGGTGTATGTGAGTTGTCATTAGTGTAAATACAATACTGGGTTTTCTAACTTTGATACAATACCTAGAAAAATATTGACATTTGGTATAGTTTTTGATTCAATGGGGAAAATTGACATTGAGGGCATACAATTTAAGTTTTTTATTAAATGATAATTATAAATGTAAATATAACAAGGCTATAACATGACAACAGTGACTTTTCTTTTCTTTGTTAATAGCAGAGAAGCGTATGTGAGTATAATAGAGTGAGGAAGGGCAGCTGGTACGGGTGTATTGATACTGAGGAAATTGAGTACTGAAACAGTTTCACATATTCAGTATCCATATGTATCTATAAATTAATACATTTGATAACACTAGTTGGTGGTTGTGGTTGTTGTTGTTTTTGATTATTATATGTACTAATCTTAAGATTTTAAACATGTCATTTTAAAGATTACTCAAACTATAAACGCTAATCAAGGACCTTGTGCTGTAAATAAGCCTAAGTTACGTGTGCGCTGTACATCTGACACTGCTTCTGCAACTGTCAATGTTTCTCTGTACTTGTTCCCTACAAATACCAATACAGTGGCGACACAGTGAAGCAGTGGTTAGCAGTATTGCCTCAAAACAAGAGGGTTTCTGGTTGGTACCTGGGGTGGGGGAGCCCAGGGGTACTCAGGCTTCCTCCAACATGCCACAGACTAGGTAGGCTAGGTTAAGTGATGACTCTAAAGTGGCTGTAGGTGTGAATGTGAGCAAGAATGGTTGTCTGTCTCTATGCGTCAGCACTGTGATAGTCTGGTGACCTGTCCAGGGTGTACTCTGCCTCTCGCCAATCTCAGCTGAGAAAGGCTTCAGCCGCCCCCCAATCTAGTTTTTAATTGATAATCACTTTAGATCATTTAAATATTTTATTGTATCTATGGTTGATTGTTTTCTGTTTAGGTGCATTTACCCTACTTATATGTATTTCATATAAAATTTTCCATGTATAATAAGGTCTTGTCCATTGTTATAATTACTAAGCCGATCAGATGCAGCATCATGTATCTCTCAAAATGAAAGGGTCATGCAGTAACAGCAGGATACACGCACGCTGCTTTTTTCCCTATTATTATCAAAAGACAAACACATAAAAACAATTGCATGGGGACACAAACTAGGCTACTACTATGGACTAAAGGAGTAGAATAGAGGGTGCCTGTTGCTTCTTGATGCAGACAACTAACCCTCCTTTCATCCACATTTAAAGCATATGAAGTGTCTGTCATGAACTGTCTTACCTGGTTGTCAAATTTCAATGACTGTGTGCCCACAAGAAAACGAATGGCATCAGTTTCAGCTGTCTGGGCAGTAAGTGCTCGTGCCTGCAAAGTAGCCACAAAATACCATGACTGTCCATTCACATAAATGACGTTTTTATCAACAGAATAAAATATAACTGAATGTGGAAACAGCTAGGAATTACCAATAAGTGAAATAGGACAGAATTGATAGATCTAGCTTTCCCTCAGTTACATAGTAATGAATGGTGTGACAGTACCTGAAATTCAAGACCATAAATAACAGGAGCGTCGTCCTCCATTTTCTGCGGTGCCTGTTGCCAGAGTTGGAGATTTCTAATCTTTTTTTGAACGTCGTCTCACAATGGAAGCGCTTGAAAAAAATATATATAACTGTGCTACGTACTGCACAAAACACAACATAGTAGCTGCACTTCCGCGATTAAAAAACTGGGGGGAAAGCGTGTGACTAAAATACTACGTAATGTCGGTCTTGCAACGTTGTGTACGATTTGAAACGTACGTAGAAGAAGTCGAGAATACTAAAAAAGACGTTGGAATGAATTTTGACTGCTCTGGGATACAGTACATGGAGCTTTCATTGGGTCTGCGCGTGCGCACTAGAGTTGTAGCTGTCAGACTGCAGCAAGGTAAGAAACATAACTGTGTTTGTGTTTCTGTTTTTATTTGTGGTTTTTCCTCACGAAGTGGAGTGAATAGCACAGTGACGTTGGTACGTTTCGTGTTTTTTTAAAACGTGGGCAGATATTAGTCAGGCGGGTAGTTTACGTTTGCAACTAGCAGCTCAGCTAAGTTAGCGTACGACAGTCAACCGGCTAATGTAGCATTAGCAACATAGCCAGAACCAAAGCAACAACAATTCTCCAGTAACTCGGGTTAATGGTCTTTCGTGACAGCACTTTTAGCATGAATAAAAGGCGTGAAACTTACTCGTTCTCTTTAGATACAGCTCAATGCTGACGATAAGAGCTTGTAATAAATAGCGTATGCTTATAATGACAGGAAGTGCTGCTGCACAGTGTTGTCCAATAACGTACAGAATATAAGTCTATCACTGTTGATATTGACTCAAAAGATAATGTCTTATTGCTGTGTTACATTGTCAAGAGCAGTAAGATGGATAGTGGGGAGGCTCCTGCCCAGCGGCCAGTCACCTTGGACATCACAGTGGAAGATGTAACCAAGGAAACTCCAGGCCCAGACCCTCCGGAGCCAGCCACCAGCCAGACCCCTTCCAGAGAAAACATCATTTCCCAGGAGGACAGCATCGACTTGGGTGGGGACTTTGCCACCCCGCAGGACAGCAGCGCTACACCTTCAGAGAGCCTGATGGACAAGCTCAATGACCAGATGATGGAGAGCGTCATGATTTCTGACTCACCTAATAACAGTGAGGAGGATGATGTAGCTCCCATTGACTCCTTTCTGGATGGAGGGGAGGAGGAAGAGAATGCACCAGAGACATCAGATGACAAAGAGGATCAAAATGAAATTGGACAGAATACAACTGAGATTCAAGTTTCAATCGAGGAACAGGAGAAAGGTGGTGCTGTGGAGGACTTAGATGAGGATTCCAAGGAACAGACAAACACACAAGAGCAAGTCACAGCCTGTGTTTCCCCTCAAGGTGACACGCAGAGCCCATCTGATCTTAAAAGTGGGGAACCATCACCACAAGAAGCTAAAGGGACAAGCCCAAAGGAAGAACCTATACCTGTATGCACCATATTCAGCCAGGGCACCCAGCCAAAGTCTCTGGTGCCTGATGGCTTCCAGCCCACCCTTATCAAGTCCCCCAGCTTCAGCATGGGGACTGGTGGAGGAACCGATGAAGCAGTGACCCCAAGCAAGCTGACGGCCCCTCTTGTGTGCCAGCCCAGCCCCAGCCTCAGTAAGTTCTTCACTGACAATGGACAGGTCAACCCAGCCTCTGATTTCTTTGATTCCTTCACTGCCCCCTCCTCCTTCATCTCTGTTTCAAACCCAAATGCTGAGATCCCTCCTGGTCCCAGCCCAGCGCCCATAGCTCCCACCCCTGAGCGCCAGCTCTCTTCCACCTCCTCCTCCATCTCCACCCCTGGAGGACCTCTGGACTCTGGTGCTCCCACCCCTAGTTCAGTGTTTAGCCCTGCCCCTACTGTAGCCACCTCCAAGTCCCAACCTCCTCCACCCCAAGCAGCCCCAGCTCCAACTCAAGCCCCCGCCCCGGCTACTCAGCCTTTCAGTCAGCTCCAAGCAGTGTTCTCGGGCAGTGATGATCCATTTGCGACAGCGCTGAGCCTGAGTGAGGTGGACAGGCGCCATGATGCCTGGCTGCCATCTGAGGAGACCAGGAAGGTGTTGATCTCTGTAGCCACCCAGCAGTACAGCCCAGCCTATGTAGAGACCAACAGACTCACCATGCCTGGACTCAAGTTTGACAATCTTCAGGTAGGACAAGCATTTGGGCAGTAAAATGCTTTTCATACCACATATGTCAAGTTGTTGAATGCCTTTTTTTTTTTTTTTTTTTACAAAGGGTACTTCACAAATATTTCATTTGAAACTCACTTGACATATCATGGGTAGTGCTACTCAGCCTGTGAAAAAAGTTGCTTGTGCTTTGAGACCACACATTTTTAACAGAAAGCCTGCATTACAAACTAGATTTGTGGAGTTTGAAAGACATACACCAGAACAACATTGCGTCATCAAGTGCCATTCACCAAAGTCAGAAATGGGAAAATGCTGAAAAGCTGACATGAAGTTGGTTAACTAAGACTTTCCCACTGACATCTGAGGCACATAAGATACATAGATAGATATTTACTCTTAGTGTGGTAACTGGCTAAATAATGCTTGTGACAGTTACTACTGATGGATAGCTAACTCGAGGGGGAGGCTGCTGCAGTACAGTTATACAGTATAGCAGTATCATATCTTATTTATCAGTTGGCTATTAACAGGTTGGTTATTTGCAGACAAGACTAAAGGGGCATGAGGGTACACTGATCGAACTTAATTTATTAAGATAATCAGGATAAGGCAAGGCCACAAAATAATTAGACATGTCTATAAAACAAATGTTTGTTTAATGAGAAATGAATTCTTACAAATTTGTCAAAATTAAAATCCAAACACACAACAAATTGCATTTACAGCAACTGAATCTTTGTGTTTTTTATCCCCCAAAAAGGGCCTTGATGTTTTGCAAAGTACTGTTATGTGCTGGTCTGCTGTACAGGCCCAACAAACTTGGAAAATCTATGAAAAGATGCATTGTGTTGCATCATGGGAAATGTAGGATCCATTGTCTTTGGTGCTTGAATCATACTGTGGACTGATATTCAGGATACCTCTGCCTTTGCTGCTTGGTTTTCAAGTATTGCTTTTAAAAAAATATTCTTTTGCAAGGCTCCCAAATATGTGGAAGTGCAGAGCTAAATCATTAGAGTAGTCATTTAACACAATGAGAACATATAGTCTATGAATAAAGGCGGCTTATTTTTAGTTGTGAATTAGATACAATAAAAGTATGATTTAAAATGTGTTGTTTTAAATTGAAGAAAAAAGCAAACAGGAATTATTATCCTTACAATGATATTTAAGTTATACTACTGCTTT